CGCTGGCTCTGCCGTCGCTGGAGCAGCACACAGAGGCCCAACCACCATCTGGAAGTGATTTGGCCCAAAGATTCCTGAACGGGGTGGGAGGTTGGAATGACCCGACGCCTCGAGCTCCCGTCCAGCTCGGAAACAAAACTGATGTGAATGGGCCCAGGAGGCAGCCATAACGTACCAGGGGTCCTGGCCTTCCAAGGAGGTGACATTCCCTAGGCAGTCCACAACTGCGTGTAGCAAGCAGGACCAACGTTAGCCAACTCTGCTGGTCTTCCCGGAACCACAGGGCCTCTCCGTATCCTTTCAAAGCCCGTAGCAGCACATCCAAGAACATTATTGGACAGCCTTATTTCATTCACAAGCACTCACACGGCACCTACCCTGCACCAAGAACGGTTCCAGGCACTCTAAAAAATATTAACTTGTTTAATCTTTATAACAACCTTTTAAGGAGGTAGTTACCCATTGGAGCGATAAGGAAACCAAGGCACACAAGTTGCCTAACTGCTACTGAGTGGCAAGTGGGGTTTGAATCAAGAATCCCTGTTCTTCACTACACAAATCACAGCTCACACTAACAGGCCACCTTGTCCCCGATGGTTACTAATTGTTATTTCTGACAAAGCTTTTGCTACTTAGTAATCAACTTCTTTTGCTACTTTGTAATCAGCCTCAAGCCCCAGACTGAAGTGTCCAAAAGACACAGTGCATTTGTAGAGGCAATTCAGGAAAGAACAGAAGACACACCCCTTGCCTACTCTGGCGCTGGCCTGCTTCAGGCCAGGTGAGTAGACTTGGCCTCAGACCGACGAAAAGGAAAGAAGAGCCTTATCTAACACAGTGGCCCCCAATCTTTTTGGCACCAAGGCCTGGTTTTGGAGAAGACAATGTTTCCATGGCCCGAGGGTGGGAGGAGGGGATGGTTTGGGGATGACTCATCCCCATTATGCTTACTGCCATTTTCACAGGGCTATGGTTGTACCCTACAGGCTAAAAGACCAAACCAAAACACACCACCCAAGCTTCTAGCCCACCTTCTTGCCAGTTTGGGGCTGAGAGACCCCTCTTTCTCCACACTGATGGGGCTGCCCAGTGTCCAAGAGGTTTATGGGAAAACAAGTAAGTAAAACTGGAGCTCCTGGCAATAACCTCGAATTAAACATGCTGAGGCCCCACTAGGACTGCCAGGACACAACTAGGTACTGAAGAAAACGTTTAAATTAGGAACGGAACTGAGGACAGGCCTACCTTACACTGAAACCCAAGTATAACTAAGTAACCAGGGTGGACTTCCAGCTGTTTGACCCACCATATCTCAGAGCTGGGCACAAGTACGTGATCTAATGATTTCTATATATTGTATTGTAGCGTGTGTATATATATATATATTTTTTTTTTAATTTTGCTATTGAGTGTATGCTATGCACTCACCACAGAGACAGAGAGGGAAAATGAGAAAGCACCCAGGGGGTGTGGAGGAGGTAGCCAGACCAATCCCATCTCCTCCATTCTCCTATTGGGATTTTGGTCACACATGCTCAGTGTGTGTTTTTCTTTTTTCTTTTTTTTTGAGAGGTTCTCGCTATAGGGCGCATGCGCTCGCCAGACAGACAGAGAGAGACATAGAGATAGAAAGCGAGAAATCACCCCCCGGTGGGGGATGGTCACGCCGCAATCCCTTCTCCCCCATTCTCCTCTCAGGATCTTGGGCACGCACGTACATGCGCCCGGCGTGAGTTCTAAGCCACCAGGTCCGGGACGCGAACCGCGGTCGACTACATGAGCGTCCAGCGACATAGCCATTACGCTAACTGCCGGTTCCCGAGTGTGTTTTTTTCAAAGTGCCAGGTCCAGAACTCGAACTGTGCAGTTAACCACCTTTGTAACCACGACTGGCTGGCTCTCCCACAATGCCACTGCTGGGAGCTAGCCGAAGCATTGGAACCCTGTGCTCATTCAGTGACACCTCCCCTGATTGTAGCAGGAAACATTATCCACAAGATAGCAGGATGCCTCAAAAAAGAAAACCCAAAACCCACCAACGAAGACGAAGTAGGCCTTCCTTCACTGATTCGACCCCAACACCAGAAGTAAACAACCTCCACTCACCTCCAGACGCAGACCAGAGGATTAATCCTATCACTCTCCAAAGGCCCTGGCAGTCCTGTTTTGACCAAGGCTAGAGTTCCAAAGTGTGGGTATCCAGCGGCCACCCCAACACCCTAGACTTGCAAAGCCTAGGAGTACAGAGGCCTTCTGACGTGGTAAAGAGGGTGCATTTTACTCATCTCTGAAGGCAAGTCAGCTAAGGGCCCAAGCTGGTTCCAGTCACTATTAAAGACCTGGCTTGGTCACCTCTGCAAGTTACTTCGCTCCTGCTTCCCCCATTCTTAACTAGGAAGGCTTTACTAACAATAGACAGAAATAACAGCAACCATTTTCTCTTTTAAAAAAAAATGTTTTATTTAACTTTATTTATTTATTCATTTGTTTCAATTTGACCAGAGAGGGACAGAGTGAGAGAGAGAAAGTGAGAGAGCAAGCTGCCAGGTCCGGGACTCGAACCACAGTCAGCCATGTGGGAATCCAGAGCCTTTAACCACCACGCTACTTGCTGGCCCCAACAGCAACCATTTTCCAAGCACTCAGCACGTGGAGGGCCAGAGTCAAGCCTCGAACCCTCCCAGTGACTCGCTGAGGTTATCACAGGAGGTTATCATGCCCCAGAGAGACAGCACAGAAGCAGTCCCAGGGGACTGAAGGCCAAGATGCATGTGCTTTTCCTTAAGGACCATGACCCAGAACAGCCCCAGGAACAGAGGCAAGAGGCCTCCGGCATTACCCCCCAAGTCCTGGCAGGGCTCCTCAGCCTCCAGAGGCTGGAAAACCTGTTTACCAGGAGAACTTTCTGGAGGGTAGCTCGGCAGCCTATGACAGCAGTCAGAAATGTGGTCACACCTTTGACCCCGGAATGTCACTCGGGGGATAGGATCCAAGACGGAATTTAAAAGGAAAATCTGAAACAAAACTATGCAACCTGCGGTGGGAAGAGGTCACAGGAAAGAGATGCCAACAGCCCACAGGCCACCCCGAGAAAGGGGGGGAAGGGGCGCTCCCCTGGAATGTCAGGACAATGGGAGGCGCGCAGGCCTGGGTGGGTGCAGGAATGAAAACCATGAGGACCACATGGAAAACTGCCAGCAGCCAGCCAAGTCTCAAATGAGACCCACACGCTCCGAGCTCCGAGCTCCGAGCACCGGAGCGGGGCAGCGCTGGAAGCAGCTGCTGGCTCTGTGAACAGCTGGTAAACTGGGCGGTCTGAGATCTTCCGGCGCTGCGGCATTGTGTGTGAGTTTTGTTGTTTTATTTAAAGAGATTTCATGTCATGTTTGGATACTCCTGGTTTACTTGAAGTTTTTTTGTTCGGTTAATTAAATAAATACACATTTTTAAAACAAAGAAGAACAGATCCAAATGGAGCCCAGCCAGGCCTTGCGATTCCTCAGAGGCTGGTTTCTGAAAAGGGCAGAATTTCAGAACTTGAGGTTCCCCAGTACAGATGGGGCCCCCACACCAACAGCGTGCCAGCAGACTCCCTCTCCAGAGGCCTGCAGGGAGGCAGCCAAGGAAGCAGCCCTACCTGCCAGGACAGGGTGACAGGGCCACAGGGCCAGCGAGACCTGGGGGAGGCGCTCAGAGGGAACCCCTCTTCCACTGGAGAGAGTGTGCTCAGTCACAGCCACCTTCCTTTCTTCCTGTCACTGTGTCACTGTAATAACCTGGTTTCCTGGGGCTCCAAGCCTAGGCAGGCTCTCTAACAACCTGCGCACACACAAGCACACACACACACACACAGTGTGCACACACGTACACCCTCTGCACACCCACACTCTGTACACACAACGCACACAGTGTACGCAGTCTCTGCACACACATGCACATAAAACAAATCCCTTGCCCCACACCTTGAGCAACCCTGGGACCCTCCAGGAAGCCCCAACCACCCCAAGCCACAGAGCGAACCCCTCCTCCTTCTTCCTCGCAGTCGGGGTTAGTGAGGACCCAGACACCACCTCCTCCTCCCGCTCTCAGGAAGACCCTGGTGTGGGGAGAGCAGGGAGAGGCTGAAACAAAGCCTCCTTCTAATTGTCACCACTTCCTGCAATTCTCAGCTGGACTCCACTCGCCTTACCTTGGGCAAGTCAATCACCCCTCTGTACCCCTCGTCTGCCAGACAGACCTAATACCGCCTCGGAGGGGGGCCCATAAGGACGGAGGTAACTTAGAAGGCTGCGGGCACACGGGGGCACAGCTGGGCGCCCGCCCAGACGGCAGTAATTACCACCATCTAATTCTATCCTGGGCGCAAAGCAGGCGAGGAGAGGCGAGAGAGACACACCCCCGCGGCTCCCCTTCCACCTCGGGCCCACACCCATCCTGGCGACGGCGGGGGGAGGGACTAGGTCCAGTCTCCACCTGGGCGGGACGCCCCAGACGCAGAGAACAGTTCCTCCCCAGGTCTCCCAGCCCGGCCACCGGGACGACGCCCACTGGGCTGGGGTTGCGCTCACCCACCAGGACGCAGCGGGGCGAGCGCTCCGGGCGCATTCGACTCCAACGCCCCGCCCCCGGGGACCTCGGACGAGGGTCGCCTGTCCCCCAAGTTCTCGCAGGAGCGCCCGGGAGCAGGAAAATGCCACATCTCCACCCCTCCGTTGGCGACCCCAAATCCAAGCCGGCAACCCATAGCCAGCCTGAGGCGCCCGGTCCCGGCGCACGGCGGGGGGCGATCGCACCTAGTCCCTGCCCAAGGGAAGCAGCAGGACGGGGACCCCAGTTCCTACGTCCCTACCCCGGAGGGGACTCCCTCGCCACCGCGCCCACACCTAGCCCACGGCTGCAGAAGTGCAGGGTTTGTGCTGCCTGGAGCCCCCTTCGCAGGCGCGCACGCGCGGGGGCGGGACCGTACACCGCCAGTGCCCGGGCCCGGTCGGGCCACTCACCGATGGACACGAGCTTGATGCTCTCGCGGTCCAGGAACTCGAGCGCTACAGACACATTCTCGAGCTGCATCTGGCGGAAGGTGGGCCGCTGGTGGTACTTGCGGTACATGTGCTTCTGGCTGAGCACCTCCAGCAGCGCAATGAGCCGCAGCCCGTCGCTCAGGTCGGTCTGCAGGTTCCCGATGCGTTTGTTCACGCACTTGAGGTGCTCGTTGCACCAGCGTGTGAAGGTGTTCTGCTGGATCTTCTTCCACGGCGCGTCCTCCGCCAGGTCCTTCTCAGTCACCGGCATCCTGGCGGCGGGGAGAGCGCAATGTGTAACGAACTGCCGGGAGCTGCCGTCAGAAGGCCCAAGGGCCGGGGGAGCGAGAACCGAAGCGGAGCGGAGCGGGAACGGGGTTCGAACTGGCTGCTGCCGCGCGCTGAGCCGCCCCGCCCCCGAAGCCCCGCCCCGTCCCGCCCCTCCAGTCGGAGCTCCCGGACAGCGCTCGCCCCCTGCCGCTTATACAGAGCAGTGCGCCTCTCGGCCTCCCCGGAGTCCTGGGATCCGGGGCCCGCACCCCTCACCCAGTCCCCAGACAGAATGTCTGGTTACTAAAGGGGAATGTCACCTGGTCGGTCCCAGAGTGGAGGGGTGTGCGGAGGTTGGGGGCAAAACAGAATGGGCGAGGACTGCCCCTGGGTTTTGGAGAGAGGCTCATGGGGCGGGGTTGGGGTTCTTCACGCCCATAGTATAGATTCAGTGAAGGGTTCAGCTGAGCCCCCGCTGTGAACGGTGCCTGCAAAGCCAAGGTGAGCAAGACGCAGTGATTCCCTCATCTCAAGAAGTTCATGGCCTAATGGGAGAGGAAAGTATAAATCAACTTTCACGAACAGTTTAGTAGTTGTTGTAAAAATGAGCAATAACGTTTGGTATGTATATTAGTTTTCTATTACTGCTGCAATAAATTATCAAAACCTAGTGTCTTTTCAAAGACAATTTATTATCTTGCAGTTCTGTAGGTTACATGGCTCATGGGCTCTCGTGGAGCTATTAATAAAATCAAGGTATTGGCAGGGTGCATGTCTTTCTGGAGGCCCAGGGGGGAAGAATCCCTTGCCTTTTCCAGCATCTAGAAGCTGTATATCTTGGCCCCAGGCCCCTTCCTCTATCTTCAAAGCCTGCAGCCTCAGGCCAAGTCTCCTCACACTGCCCTCATGTTCTCTATCATCACATCTTCCTCTCATTATTTTAAGAATCCTTGTCATTACTTTGGGCCAGTTGATGAGTCCAGGATAATCTTTCTGTTTTAAAAATCAGGCGAGTTCCACAGGGCTGAACACGATTTGAGTCCCGGACCTGATAGCTTGCTTTCTCACTTTCCCCCTTCCTCTCTCTGTCTCTCTCTGGTCATTATAGACAGTTTTTAAAATCATAATTAATTAGTTAACTAATTATACTTTTAAAAAATCAGGTGAGTCGCAACCTTAACCCTTTTTGCCACCTTAATTCCCCTTTGCCAGGTTAGCTAACACTCACAGGTTCTGGGAATTAGGATGTAAACAACTTCGGGGGCCGCAGTTCTGCCTGCCACACCATACATTACACACCTACTCTGTACTCAACCAGGTACTGTGCAAACTGCTGGGATCTGGCAGAGACCAACAGCTATAAGGAACAGCTGACGCTTACTGAGCACCCGCTGTGTGCCTAAGCCAGTACATGCTAAGCACTTTCCTTGCTACGGGTCCCTTTGGCAGGCTTTAAAGAGGGGGTAAGCCACAAACCGAATCTGTAAGGGGGGCACATAGCATGCCCTAGGGCCAGAGAAGGGGCTTTGAACCCGGGTTCGAGGGAGGGGTTCAAGGCAGGTAGGCTTCCTGAGGAAGAGGCCACCGTGGGCAAGATGGAGAGCAGGAGCCCCTAGCCCTGGAGGTGGCTGGGAGAGGCCAGCCAAGCTGAGGGTGTAGCTGCTCTAACAGTCTTTTGCATACACCCCTGAAGTGCTTTGTTCAAATAGATAGCCTCACCCACTGGAAATGCTCACAACAGCCAGGGGAGGATCTTGTCACCTGTCCCCAGCCCAAGGTAGAGACTCAAATAAGTATTTGTGATTAAGTGAAGAGATTTACTGAAGGTCAGCTGGTAAAGACTAGACCAAGCTGGATTTGAACTCCAGTCTAACTCTAACTCTGTCCAAAGGCCCCATGCTATCCCTGGGACTTGCCTTCATCTACTCAATGGATCCCCTTGAGTAGCAGGTTTGAGACAAGAAGGAACTGAGGTGAGGGACATTCCAAACTGAGACAAGGGACATTCCAAACACCTTAAGTCTGACAGACAAGAGTGGCTGAGAGACTGGGTCTGAGCCAGTCGGAGCCAAGGTGGCGCCTTCAGACTCACTGTACGGAATTAGCATGCCAGATGACACTCCCACCTGCACTGTGACAGTCTGGAATAACTATGGAAATGACCAGAACCACCCTAAGAAGGCCAGAACATGTGAGGAACAGTGGTTAGGAAAACTATCGACTCTCCCCAAAGAGTCACGAATAAACCACGCTTTACTTGGTTTAAGCCAAGCCTAACGCCCACCGAAGTTCGGGGCTGCCCTGTCTCTGGGGTAGCCCTCTGTTTCCTTGTGGGTAAAAGGTCTCTCCTTCCTCCCCGTGGGAGAAAACAAACTGCTCACAGGCAGCTCTGGGAATGGAGACGTCCACTTGGCACACTTTCCTTAATAGACCTCCTTTCACTCCCCCTCAATGGCTCGCTCTTGAGTTCTTTCCTGCGTGAAGCCAAGCACCGCTCTCATCCCGGTTCGTGAGGTAGAAAGCCCCCACTAGTTGAGTCTCCCCGACAACAGATTCACTAGAGGGAGAGTTGGTAACCTTTGGCTCCCCTGTGCCTCCACCCAAACTCATCCATCAAAACTTATCAGCCATGGTCACCCCTGCTAGGGAGACTGGAGCTAATGTGACCAACTCAGCCAAGGTGGCAACTGCTATTATTGTGCTAAGGGTCCCTTGAAAGTGTCATTCTTTTTTTTTGCTTTAATTTTAAAGTTTCCTATAGGGCAGGTAAGCTCACCAGAGAAAGACAGAGAGAGAAAAGTGAGAAGGCAAGCCACCAGGACTCCCACTATGATTGGCCATGTGGGAGTCCAGAGCCTTAATTACCATGCCACCTGCTGGCCCCTGTAAGTGTCACTTAAAAAGTAAAACGAGGGACCAGCAGATGTTGTAGCAGTTACATCACTGAACTCCCACATAGTCGATCAACCGTAGTAGTTCTTGTTCAGGACCTGGTGGCTTGAAACTCATGCTGGGCACGTGTGCGTGCGTGCCCAAGATCCCGAGAGGAGAATGGAGGAGAAGGGATTGCAGCATGTCCATCCCCCCTGGGAGGTGATTTCTCACTTTCCCTCTTACTGTCTCTGTATTTCTCTCTAGCAAGTGCAAGTACCCTATGGCAAAAAAAAAAAAAGTAAAGAGAAACAGGTAAAATCAACTATAATAATATGTATAAAATATAATACATTTAACCCAATATTAGGGGGACCAACGTGATGATCAAGGCATTTCCTGGAGTGCAGGCCTTTCAGTGCTAAACCCCAGTTCCTGGCAAAGCAGAACAGGTTGGTCACCTTATCCAACATATTCAAGATGCTATCATTCCGGGTCAGCAGGTGATGTGGAGGTTAAGGTGCTAGATCCCACGTTGCTGGCTGAACGGTTGAGTTCTGGACCCGGCAGCTTGGAAAGCAAGTCCCGCACATATGCGTGCATGCCCAAGATCCCGAGAGGAGATGCCAGAGGAGAAAGGATGGCAGCAGGGCCAGCTGCCCTGAGGAGTGACTTCTCACTTTCCCTCTTTCTCTCTGATGAGCACATGCACCCTATAGCAAAAACTGAAAAACAAAACAGAAAGATGCTATTGTTCCAATATATTATCGATATTTTAATATTTTTAAGAGAGATTTTTGCTACAGGGCATGTACACTCACTAGAGAGACAAAGAGATAGAGATATAGAAAGCGAGAAATCACCCCCTCCCAGGGAGGATGGCCATGCCTCAATCCCTTCTCCTCCATTCTCCTCTGGGGATGTGGGCACTCATGCACATGCGCCCGATGTGACTTTGAAGCCACCAGGTCTGGGACTCTAGCTGCAGTAGGCCATGTGGGTGCGTGTGCGTGCGTGCCCAAGATCCTGAGAGGAGAATGGAGAAGGGATTGCGGCGTGGCCATCCCCCCTGGGGGGTGATTTCTCGCTTTCTATCTCTCTGTCTCTCTCCGTCTAGCGAGTGCACGGCACCCTATAGCAAAAACCTCTCCAAAAAAAAAAAAAAGAAAGAAAAGAGCAAGGCCCTCCAGCTGCCCCTGACTTGTTCCCTCACCTGCAATCTACATTCACATTGTATCTTCTGGGAGTTTTTGACAAGTGAGAAACTGCGTCTAGCCTGAGCAGTGCTGTAGTGTCTTCGTGGCTGTCCTTACCCGTAGTGAATGCACAGTGAACAGTGCAGGCTGTGAGCTCCAGATAAAGAAGTCACTTTCTAAAAGGAACAGAGATTGAAGAACCAGGTCTTGCAAAATGAGCGTTTGTCCCCCACCAGGGCGGGGCCCATTTGTTTTTGCCCTAGGGCGGGGGCCTTTGCAGTTGTAATTTTACACCAATGTCCACACCCTGCCAGCAAGAATGACAAGCCAAATGTAAAGGAGAATATTTGCTGGGTCTCCATCCCCAGGAGGAGAGGAGTTGGTTTCCTCCATGGCAGTACTTTGACAGGTGGGGGCTGTCACCCCAGTTCCAGCCCCCTGGGAGGGTCCTGGGACCCTGCAGTAGGGATGAAGGGGAGCAGGCCTTCCACACAGCCAGCCCTGCCCGAGATGAGCTGGGGGTGCTGGCAGCCAGGCACAGCCTTCACCCCAGCCCTCCCACTGCCGCCCCCTCCCCGTCACACTTAAAGTAGGGTTAGTGCCAAATGCTGAGCTAAGCATCTCTTTTCTCTCTCTCTCTCTCTCTCTCTCTCTCTCCC